TTACCAGCCTCCCCCTTGTCAAAGAAGCAAGTAGAAAAGAGATGCATGCCCAGAAATACTTCCTATCGCGCAGCTGATCCATATGATTTCGAGTCCCCTATGTTACGGGGTTCACATAGGCACCGTCAGCTACGAAAAATGTAAATAAGATGCATTCCTCATGACTGGGTCCAGCCATTTGATACTGTCATTTTTAAAGGTAGGAACTTTGTCATTGTATATAAATCAAGGGGTTAGAAAACTTTTTGTTGCTTGTTACTGCAACAACGACGCCTTATCAACCGGTGTTTTAAAATATTCCGTTTTAAAACACACTAAAACACTGTTTATTTTGCTTTTGTTTGAAAACAAGTTGCTCAGGAGGATATTTGGACGAAGGAGTGACGAAATAAGTGGGAAATTAAGAATATCGCATAACGAGGAGCTGCGTGAATTGTACGGGTCACGTAGCACAGTGAGGGTAATGAAATCTAGGATGCTCGGATGGGCTGGACATATAGCACGCATGGAGGGGAGGCAAGAGGTGCATACAGGATTTTGGTAGGGAATCATTCTGGAAAACGACCACTGGGCAGACCGAGAAGGAAATGGGAGGATAACATCAAGATTGATCTTGGGGAAGTGGTCTGTGAGGATGGCAAATGGATGAAGCTGGCTCAGGATCGTGGCAGGTGGCGGGCTTTGGTGTTGTCGGTGTATATATTTAAGCTGTCAAACTCTCTGAACGAGAACAAGCTGAAAGAGGCAATGGCTAAGCATTTGTAGATTGAAGTTGATTTTCACAAAGTGGCTGTAAAAGTTACAGTACACCTGAAGGGTTAAACATAGCGCGGTATTTCATAAATAATAATTTTTATTATAGTTCTTTCATTTTTTACTTTTGTGTGAAAGTTCGCAATTAAACCCGAGTTGGTTAATTTTGTTAGGAAGAAATCGCGACAGTTTCAGTTTTTGCGATTGTTTGTAAAGTAATTCACTGATTGATTCTCAACTAAATACAATGGATAATATGAAAAAAAAAATTAAAATCTCTTTCTTAACTGATTGCTTCAAATTAAGGATGCACACATTAAACTGGTCGGAAGAAATAATATCACATTATTATCATCCCTGAATTTTTCAGGAGGGACTGAGGAAGTCTACGCAATATCTCTGGTTATTTGGCCTCTGGTGACGCGGAATCAACGAAGGAATGCAAACCGCTGAAATACGTCTTTCCATTGAATTAAACAAGATGATAAAACAATAATTTGTAAATATGGAGACTTTCGGAAGGAGTTGGCTATTCAATAAAGACTAATAACGTAACATTTTCAGAAAACCCCTCCAATAAATATGCAGGTATGTGCTTAGATTGGAGAACTGACCTCGTGCAAATGCAGTTGGCTGTATGGATCAGAAACGGTCTTCGTGTCACACGAGTCCCGAAGTTGGGAACACGACATAAATTCGAGGAAACGCTGAAGCGATGTGCTGAAGAAATGTCACAGGTGGTGTGATTTAAGAAGGAAAATAGATCGATGGCACTGTGAACTGAGAGTCGTGTTAGCATGGTTCAGGTGCTTCATCGCAGCGTCAGCAGGTTATCTCAGAGAAACTTCACTACGATAAACTTTTAATTTGAAGCGCAAACATAAGCTAATCTCTCCAGGCACGAACAAAATCAAGAGTGAATCTGAACTACTGTGTCTCGCTTCTGCACTCCGCAGATTAGGCTGAAGGCACTCCAAATTCTTGTCCATCTTTCGGGTTGTCTTGAATTCTGGTCCAGAAGTATTATTGTTCTATGGCAATTTATCTTTAACCTGAGGTAGTATATTCTTTTCTCTTGTCGGGTATAACTTACCACAGGAAACAAATCGTGTCGAAGTTTGAAGTTTCTGACACTGGTACGTTGTAAAATTGTTCTTTTGGGCCTTGTCTGTCGTCTGAACTATAAAACTACAACGTTTCGAAAGTTGGATTCTGCTTCTGTCTTCAGGTAACAAGAAGTAACAGGGCATAAAGGCCTATCTGTTGGACCTCCTGGTTGAGCTAGTCTCAGATCTGGACATCTGTGTAAATTTTACATATGTCATATATTCGCAATAATATTATTTTAAAATCAAAGTTAATTTTTTCTCATAATTTCGACAGATAATTTTAGAATATATGGATGCACAAATAATGTATTTTTTTAATACATTGGTTTTCACTACTTTGGCCATTATAAAATAAATATATTTTGTAAAAGTGTGATGAATCTCGCGGGCCGGAAAAATGTTCAAGGCGGGCCACATGCGGCCCGCGG